TATATATATATATATATATATATATATATATATATGTACATAAAATTCGAACATTCCATTCATTTCCTTTACAATCTCGCGTCCTCGCACGATTCAGTCGTTCCCACCTTAATGATCCGTCAACCACGTTCTGCTCAGGTGTCCATCAAGGATGATTCCGATGAAAAATCTAGCCATCCAGAAACAGTGGTGGGGCAGACATCAGAAAATGTGGAAGCCAATCGAGCTAGTGGAAGCGTAGGTGATGCATCCTACCTAACCGCGGATTCCAGCTTATCCAATTATCATCCTGTGGTCTGTAGTACAAGGAGCGACGCGCAAGGCGTCATGACCAACGCGACGACTGGCCAAACGACGCCGTCGTTGGCGATTAAGACCGAAGTCGAAATCAAGCAGGAATCCGAGGTGGCGCATGACTTAGAAACTACCTTTTATGGCACATACGATGAGGCTACGAATTCGATTACGATCATTTATCCGGGGCAAGAGGACGCCGACATCGGCATTCAGGAATGTGTGCAAGAGATCAGCACGGACGACGACATAGTGTGCCACGATATGGACGGCACTGTTGTCCACAACGTGACACACGACACCGTCGCTGAAGTTACCACCGATATCAAGTATCTAAAACCACCGCCGCTTCGTGGTTACTCCACGCAGTTCTCCCCGGCGTACACTTGCCGCACCGACACCATGTCGCCCGCGAGCATCAACTCGGACACGGATTCCTGTGTCGTCCCGCAAATGGATAGTATCAGCAGCACGGATTGCGGCTACGAGTCGCACGACTCCCCGTCCGTAGACTCGCATTGCCGTTACTCTTATTTCAACGACTTTTGGCAAGAGAACTTCAGAGACTTATTTCCCGCGCTTGCCTGACAGTTCTCAAGAAAACGACGAATTGCGCGCAGGAACAGGCAACCGATACCGAATCGTTGCGTCTGTGATACGAGAGGGAGATTCCATAGCGCAGAAAGTAGTGCACAGCTGCCGCGTTATAATGCACCATGCACATTCGGTTAGATTCCTTCAAAGAGAAACGGAAAATTATAAAAAAGAAAGAATATAAAAGCAACGCTTTTTGTATAGTTTATCATTTATCCGACATAAGTTAAAGATATATATAAATATCGCGTTCATATTGATAGGAAGATATTTAAATTATATTTTTATTATATGTATTATATTTATCTCGCATAGAGTATGTTAGTTCTGTTTGAAAAATTTATTTTAACTATCTACAAAGACATCAAAAATTGTTAATCGACGAGATATCTTTATCTCTAACTATAATAACAAGGTAAGATTCGATAAAGACATGAGAGATTATTGTGTCATTTTTTTGTTTCTTTCTATCAATGCCGGGAAGTAGTCTTTGGTAGCACAAACTATAGCAGCATGTACTATTGGTGTTCGTATGTAACATATTAAGCTGCTCGTAATACGAAGTGAACGATTGGCAAAATTTGTATCTTTATTGTAAGATTCTATATATTTTTGTATATATACCTGCGAATGCGTGGATTTCTTTCAATAGATATATATATATGTATAATATATATTACCCGTCACACACAATCAGGAACTATAAGGCAAATATACGTAGTTTCATTTTTCTTTCGTAATCAATGAATATCCCTTGTATACACATCCACGTTCTATTTTAGAAGTTTATTGTTAACATGTGTGTATACGTGAAGTCGGTGAGCTGATCTTTATTTTGTAACAAAATGCCAAATAAACAAAAGAATGGTTTATCTCTCACTTTACCTATCTGACTTTGCATTGAAGAGTACGTCGCTTTATACACCGATCAATTTAATCCGTACAACTTTCATAATTTACCCGATTGTTTGTTCTTCTCCGCAAGGCATTACGTAATTCGATGATCAGACGTATGTAAATTTATATTGTTATTTGTGCGGTCAAGTTCGTTAAATCCCAGGCCACTTCGCGCGCTCTGTTCTGTATAAATATTTTTATAAATATATGAAATATATCTAACGCGCGCGCGGGAAGAAGAAGCTTTCATCCGAAATATTTGGAGACTAATATTGTTGTGCAAATATTTGCTCGAACGCGATTACATCATATATGTATATCTATTGATATATACTATAGATATACGCATTATTAGTAACGATAAACTACTACATAGCACCCTTTTCGTTAATTCTTAAACGGCATGATGAGCTCAAACAGAGCGGTTTAAGAAACACGACTTACCATGTAAGGTTATTACAAAGACCCAGGGAACATTATAAAGATTATACAGAGTGTTCCTTCGTATCTATTCCTTGTAGAAAAAAAATTGACTCGAAAATTGTTAAAAAAATCTCGTTAAAAATGGTGATGATAACGGGACATCCTGTATAACTTTCAGTCCTGTCACACACGATGACACTTAAAACGTTGTTAACACTTAAAATTCCATGCACGATCTTCCTCCACAATTGCACTATTCAAAAGTCAATATCTTCATTTATGTAAAAAATGGAAATCCTAGAAGGCCGTAACTCGGCGAACGAGTCTCATTTCGCGCTTTTACATAGACAGTCAAAGCAAGTGTATACCGCAGCATGCGTATTCCGTCAAAACTAGCAAAACCGTGTCACCGAGAGCGAAATAACTCTTCCGCTCTCCGTCCTTATATTACAAGATATAATCCGTATATGACATATTTATCCGAAGAGTTTGTCGAAACAGCCATGGCAGTATGGTTTGTCGTTTTGTTCCTTGAAAGTACCCTTGTTCAGTTGCTTCAAGCAAAACGCGCACACGAAGTGCTCAGGATGGAATTTGCGAAACATGGCCGTTATACAGCGACCTACAACGTGAAAAAACAACATGTCATCTGAGGGCTTGAAATTTCAAAAAAGTCTTATACTCACCAGTGATTGGTTTGTGACATCCTGCGCACAACGATCCTCTCTTGGCGTGATAATGCGTCTCGCAATACGGTAATCCCTCGTGATCAAAGAAGGAGCCTCCCTGAAACTTCTGTCTACAATCCTGCAAAAAAAAAACATCGAGATAAATTTAGTAAATTTACGTAAAAAATTGCATGATAAAATGTTTTCTCAACAGAGTTCCATAAATTTTATAAAAAAGAAATATTTTCTCTCTATCTCTTCGTTTGACAAAAATAAATATACTACATATAAATATTACACATGCTTTGTTGTCATATTGAAGTTGTACACAAATTTATCAAGAATCTTCAAAGAAATACATACAAATATACTGTTGGCTTAACAAAATGATACTACTGTTACTACAAAAGAATACAACCAGCGCTTTTAGTTCATGAAATTTTCATAATTAAATTTTTCAGGAAAGGAACACGACATTTATATATATTGGTCTTAATCACGAGATAGTGCGTCCTGCACTTTCACCTTGAGAATTTAAATCGATTGAATATTCAATATTAAATAATTATGCTGTTTCGACTTTTCTTACAACTGTGGAATATTAAGCACATAAATCACACACGTAAAAAAAGACAATATATTGGCATATAAATTTCTTTGAACGCATCCTGTATGCACTTTTTATCATATGTATATACGCGCGTAGAAAATTCCTGACTCGCCTCACAATTGACTCAAAATACTCTCCCATTACTAATGGGAAAATCAATTGCTTTCACTATATTGTTTTCTGAGCAGGGACTTGTCGATGCCAATCCGCTGTCGCTAGAACGACCTAAGAAATGTAAACATTCATTTACGACAATGAGTGCCGTTCGTCGCATTCGGCTCGGCCCTTTGTCGCACTTGTTGACGCGACACGCACGTGTGTCTGTCTCGCTGTGTGCGTACAACAGCCGACTCCGTGTCGTGTTTTCTTGTTTTGGGGTTTTATTCTTTTTTTTTGGGGGGGGGGGGGGGGTGGGGGTTTATTTCTTTACTTCACATACAATACTAACAACATCCGCACGGCTCGATAGAAAATTCCTATCCGTTATCAAGAGCTCGACGGCGATGTCGAGGCGCGAACTCGGGAACATATAAGGAACTTATAGCTTGAATCGAGAGTTTGTTTTATCGGGAGTATGTTCTGAGAAATGTGTGTGAGTGTATGTGTGTAAAAGGTGCGTTTGCGAGGCGCGGGAACAATGCGACGATGCTACTCGCATCGCAATCGATGTCGTTCTCGCCTTGGTCTTCCCCAGCGGCGCCGGCTAAAAATCACCTGTCACCTGGGAAAGTCACGGGGATGGCTCCGCATTCATAGAGCCGGAGGGCATATACAGAGGGCAACATTGTGCGGGGGTCGGAGACTGGAGAACAGTAAGTAAGACATTCGGACATTGGGCGCGGGAGACGCGTAGACTGAGGCGACAGGTCGACCGGAGAGTCCTTACGCCTCCTGCTCCTCTTCTTCCTCATCGTCGTCCACCCCGACGCATTTCGGGCACACCGGCTGGCCCTCCATCGCATAAAAGGACTTTCCGGAGACCGGTTTCTTGCAATCCTGCAATTGTCAAAGTTTATAGAGCGTCTGACTGGAACGGTGCTTCTCGCGTCTCTCGTCCCGCGAGGGATTTTTAGAATGCTACGAACGCGGGAGAGAAAGAGGGGAAGAACGTCGATGATTTTCGTAGAGCTGAAAGTAAAACTTGACGATGAGTTTCGACGAGTCACGGTTAAGCCCGAAACCTACCCTGCAGACGAAGCAGTCCGGATGCCATTGACTGTTCAACGCGGATATATAGTTTTCCATGATGGCTCGATTGCAACCGCCACACTTAGGCGCGAACATGTCGAAGTAGTCCTCGCGGCAATAAGGCTTGCCGTCCCGCTCGTGGAAGCCCTCCTCGCCGAACTGCTTGCCGCACTGAGCACAGAAGAAATGCTCGGTGTGCCACGTCTTCTCCAAGGCGGTCACGCATTTCTGAAAGCAAAGTTCGCGTAACGAGCGGATAATGGATGCGATGTAGGGTATTCAGGAACAGCTGGCATAAAAGCCCGGAAAAAGAGTATAGATCAGTATTATTTTTCAGCAAGTACTAGTCCGGATAGTATTTGTGCGCAAACAGCTCCAGTCGAGTTCATTTTATGCGTTTCGTCCAGGTGTCTTGGAAATGTCAACGGATGGGAAATTAGTATAGGTGTGCGAAGGAGTCTTTTCCAGTCTGCAGTTCTCTTTTATTACTGTCCTCAACGTTCGTTGGAACGACGATCATGTCGATGAAATCCACTATTAATACAATCTATATTCTTTTTCCCGAGGATAACCGTCCTCTTACATCGAGAATCGGCCCGTTGCAGTAGGCGCAGCGAGGTGAGAACAAGTTATGATAGTCCGTTTCACAATAAGGGTGACCCTCTCTCTCGAAGAAGTTGCGTGTGCCCAGCTCTTGATTGCAATGAGTGCACGTAAAGTGTTCCGGATGCCACGTCTTGCCTAGAGCTGTTATCACCTGTACAGTGAAAACGTTATCGAGTCAGAAAGATGAGAGAGCGGAAGACATTTCGTCGAGCTATGATCCGAGCAATCGGAAATCGGTCGCGCGGCTACCTGGCCCACAATAGGCTTCTCGCAAGCGCTGCAACATCCCTTCTGAGTTGTGTTGACTCCTTGGCGGCTCATGTCGGCCTGGAGGTTGCCGAGCATAGAATCCAACTGGTTCTGTTTGATATGCGTAACGGTCTGGGTGGTGTGATGGCTTTCTCCGTGCTGCGGCTGATAATGATGAGTCGTGTGAGTCTCGGTGATGTGGACGCGGGTCTGCTGCGTGCCCTCGGCCGGCAGCGGACTCTGCGAGCTCTTGGTAGCTTTGTTGGGTTTCGCGTACGGGGAGTCGGTCACCGTCTGGTGCTGATGGGTGCCGCTGTTGATCTGCAACGACACGTTTCCGTAGGATTCGAGCGTAAAATCAGGAGTGTCCTATCCCTCCACTGTTTGCCCCGAGAAATTGTGACCGAAAAGTTGTGGGAAAATATGCGTTTCTTTGACTTCAAAATCGACGGTCTCAATTTCTCGGTGGGTCACAGTCGGTATCGAAGCCAGTACGAAGCCTGGAAAAGCTCTACGAGATTGTGTCAATCCCTCTGTACGAAAGTCTAAAGTGGAAACGCGTGTACGTGCACGTGGTGGTTGCGTATGAAAAGTGTCAAGGCTGGAGAGCGAGACGATTTGACGGGCAAGGTGAAAGAAAGAGAGAGAGAGAGAGAGAGAGAGAGAGAGAGAAAAGCAGGGTCAGGATGTCAAGGTGCGGGTACTTTTACGGATGCTGAATGAAAGGAGGAATGCAAAAGAAACCCACGAGATGTGAGGAGATGTCGATCGCCACGGGCGAGCTTGCAGACTGGCCGAAAGCTCCGAGTGTTTCGGCAGATCACACGCCACCGTGGTGGTACCCCACCTCGACTTGACTTCGTTCCTCCGGTCCATCCCTCTCCCGCCGGAAAATCGGTGGGCGACGAGGAGCAAAGGAGACGCCGTGAGGGGACGGGGGAGTCGCGTGGCGATTTGTAGTCTCCATTTTCTCGGCAGCAACGGCGGCGGCGGTGAGGTGGTTATTTTCGTAACGTGGGGAGCCAAGAATGGGCAGGAGTGCTTTTAACGCTCGGTGTTTTCCGATTCCGCGGTAAATCAACCTGGATGGACCGATCAGGCAAACGGACTGGGACAAGTCAGGACCTGTGTACCTGTGTTCGCTGATAATGACCAAACGCGAGAAATATACGCGTTGTACATGTATACATAGAACGTACACAGGGAACGGGAAATAGCTCGCTCGAAAACGGAGACGTTATCTTTCATCCAAGTTCTTCCTGGATTCAGTTGACGGACAACAATTTTGTAGACTCGTCCTGTGATCTGTCGTCCTTGCTACGTGTGATTTTTTTAGTATGTAAATTGCTAGATGTTATCCTCGCAACTAGTTATACACACAATGCGGGAGGCAACAAAAAGCATCAAGGAATGGCATATATGTTGACCTTTTCAGCACAATATTAAACAGAAAACCAAACACCAATATGTGTACTAAAAAAGTTGTTCAACCCTTGAGGAACAGCGGTTTTCTCCAAACAAACCTTCCAAAATACGATTCACAACAGCGGTTCTGCAAGGGTCGATCGCGTTATACGATTACGTGTCCTTGAATATGATGTACCTTGAATTCAGAAAGCGAAGCCATTAGGTCGTCCAGCTCCTTGGTAGCGTTACTCGCGGTATGACCATTAGGGTAACTTCTTTGAACCTCGCTTCGATTCAGCGATCCGTGCTGACTGGACGGATAACCGTCATAGACCGGCTGTAACTCCGTGGACGTCTCTTGTATAGTGACCTTCACCCTTCCGTCAGCGGGGTAGTCTCTGTTCGGGGAGGGCAACTTCGTTTTACCGTACGCGAAATTCTCACCATAGAACCGAGATTCCGTGAACTCTGGTGAGTCGGTTCCTCTCTGAGGAAATTATCAATGAAAAGAAAAGCACGCAATTGTCCGCGCGTCGTCGTGAGCGAATCCTGTCTATTTTCATACACTAATCTGCCCTTGACACGTTGAAATCCCCGAAACTCACCGAGGTCACGCGGATGATCGATTCCGAGGTGTTTTATAGCTCACACTGAGGAAAAATCTTTAAAAATTTACTTACGGCATATGAAGTTTATTTTTGTAAAATAAAGTTTACTTCTAAATAAAGTTTATTTGTGAAAAAAAATAGAGTTTATTCCCATGAATAAACCTTATATATTCCGCAAATAAATTTTCAAATAAACTTTATTTTCTCAGTGCATGATCATGAATTTTTATGCTGTCGTGGGGTTAATTGTTGCTCGCGCAAACACAGAAAGCTCACCCGTTAGGCACGGCGGTGCTTAGCTCTTCGAGCAATGAATCAACGGTGGGTCGGGAGGCTGACAAGCTACTCGGGGAACGGAGCATGGGGCTAGTCGCACCCCCGTTCATCCCTGTGGTAGATACGCGGCTATCTATAATCATCAGTAAAAGAGAAAAGCGTTTAAATGCGACAAAAATCGTCGCTTCCGAGACTTGAGAATCAAGCGTCGGAGAGTAACTCTCCGTAACGCTGGTTGAGAATCCAAGTATTGGATCTGACCTCTTTCTTGATAATGGGTGTTATAGCGCGCGTTGCTGAGGTCTTGCAGGAGAGTGTCCAACTCGGAAAGATTGTTATTGAGGGAGGGCATCTTGCTTCCGGTGCTGGCTTGGGTGTAAGACGCGCTTCCGGCCTTACCAATGGTCTCCTCTATCGCCTCGCGGTTCTGGTAAGTAGGCTACAACATTCGCGAGTGCCCGCGATGATGGTTAATTGCATTGTGAATCGCACGGTCTCTATTGCCGGCCAACAATTATAGTGATTCAGCGATGGAAAACATAACGTGACATGGCAAAAGAAAATCATATCATAATATTCGACAAGAACAGCGAGACACATCGCAAAGCAACTAAAAAAACAAATTAATGCGACTGACTCCCGATGAATGGACAATGTACGAGAAACTCGAACGAACAGCTGCGACAATTTTCCGCTCTCCAAAGGCGTTTTTGGCTTGTTAATCGACAAAAGCGATGGCCTGCCAAGTTGTCGCAGAGTGCATTATTATTTAGAACCGTGATGTCACTAGAATAATTATGTGGCGCGTGCAGAACGCCGTCGTGTCTCAGGACGAGGAGGACGATGTGCGCTTTTAGTTACGAAGGTCAATTTTAAATCGCTTTTAAGCGACGGGTCGGAATAAATATAAGCACGCGATCAGAATTGGTGCCTAAAGTTAATTGATAAATATTAAACAAACAATTTTAGTTGTCAAACGTATACAGAAGATACTCGCAGATCGGTAACATCAACTTGGCGATTAGAACAATGTAAATTGTGCTTGTCGCGATTTCGCGTATGTACGATACGAAAAACAAATTTAGTCGGTTCAACAAAATATGAAATATTTACTAGTGAAATATGAACGAATCGGCATTCCTGCTGAAGTTATCAGAATCCTATTAAAGTCAACAAAATTTTGGTTAACCAGGAATTTTACTTGATTAACTAGAATCTTGTTAACTTCAATCGGAATTCTAGTTTGTTCATATTTCATCAGATATTTGGTTAATCCAATTAACTCTTTTTTTCCATGGATGATACAATTAAATAACAAGACTATTCAATTTTTTTTTTAATAATATTTATACAGAATTATTTTCAGCCATGTACGTGTATGTTATAAATATATCTTATTAATTAAAAAATCGAAGGCAACCCGATTGCGAAATCGCGAGTTCGCGCACGGAGTCGCGCGAAGTGTCTTGTTTACCGAAATTAAATTTAATACTTGACGTCAGGAGCTTATCGACGGCCAAACGTGAGTCCCAGCCACTTGTGACCATAAATTGGGAGCTTTACAAGGCCTCAAAGAGGATCGTAAATGGTGCATAATTCATTTCAAGGCGGCGATCGAAGCGGGCTATCTGATAAACAAATTGCAGTCGAATTTCTGGGAATGTTCCAAACGAAGTTTGTTTCATCGGCGAATTTCCGGCGATGACTATTCTTTTTTTATTGCAATAAAGCTGTGTTACGACGCGTCCTGCTGCTGGATGAAGGGAAACTAGGTTACACGCTGAGTTGTCAGCCTAAAAATATCCGCGGCAAGCCGCAGAAACATGTCAGCAAGACATATCGGCGCTTCGCGGGAAATTTCGACCGCGATACAACTATTAGCGCGAGGAAGTTTCCACGAGATCCTTTTTTTTTTTTTTTATAAAATGTGTCATATCCGTATGAGTCACGAGTACTTATCGGCGACGGATACTTTGCTTTGAAATTAAAATCGATTCACACTTCGTGAAAACTGTATCGAAAGCTACGACACGATACATCCTCGAGATATTTGTTTCTCACCTCTCCGTAATCGGTGAGTTTTCAACAAATTGACAGAAAAAATAGCATGTAAATACTCTTAGCCAATCTTGGCATAACGCATATTTTTTGTGGTTCTAAACGGAATATTGTAGTAAAAATTATATATTTTACAGTCTTTTTTGTAAATCTACGCTATACTGAAATTGTAGTTTAAGTTACTACAAAAATAGCCGATTGGATGATATACGATATGAGAAACATTCAAACTGTTATAACAATTTTGTAATGAAAAGTCAAACGTGCATAAAATTCTTAAATATATAGTAATTTTGGTCATAATTCTGTAATTCTGTATTCAATATTACAAAAATTTTGTTGTAATTTTTGCTACAATGTTTTTCGTGTAACGAAAAAATAATAACAAAATAGTAACAAAAAGATAATAAGAATATATGCGCATACATAAGATTATTGTTGCCGACACATATTTTACCGCAACACTTGCTACAAAAATTATTTTCCAAAGATTATAATTATTTCACCATGTGTCACTTCACTTATAGAAATAACACATTTTTTCCTTCATGTATGCATCTACTATTTCGCGTCCTCGTGGCACGATACTATCTATACGTTCCGCATAAGCGCGTTCGCGATTCTCTGCGCTCACGTGTCGGCGTTGTTACCACATTCAGCAGGGTTTATGCAACGAACTGCAGTTGCAGCTGCAACGCGGGCGTCTGGAATCGTTCACGCACGCAGGCTAAATTCACATCAAAGAGAAAGCTTAACAGCCGCGACCTTCACCACGTCGACGAGATTTTTGGCACTCCGGCGGCAATACTATAAAAAACGTTACAAATGGAGTTTAATCTGTGATGTGCGGAGTTAAACGCGAAATAACCCTGACGCAATAGAATCGAAGACAAGAAGCATCAAGCAAAGTCTCCAAGAACGAGAAAAGCCACTCAGTGGAACATTGGCGTGTTCCTCATTTAATTATAGATTTCAACATAGGTTAACCATAATCATGGAACAGTCAGAAAAGTTTGCGACTATAATAGCACGATGAAATAATTATAGCCAGAAAACCTATTTTCATAGCCACATAACGCTATTACAGTGCCAGTTGACAGAAACTTCATACGCAAATATTGTCGCTACCTTTTTGCCAGATCAACAAAAAGATACGATCGAAAATTTACGGAAAATTGAACTGTACTTTTCGACCGACTTCACATGATAAGCTCGTATAATACTTTCGCCAAATTGGCATCGCGTAAATAGGTCTTGGACTACGCGAAATTGGATCACGTCGCATCCTGTGATCCGCAGCCGAGACTTGACAATCGCGGACAGCAAACTTGACGATAGATCGGTGCCGTAACAACATGTTTCGCGAAGAGTAACACGCGCAACATGATTTATTCGGTCGCAATTTATTAAAACGCAAAGTAGACAGCTACCGACAATTTCGACCGTCATAACGTGCCAGTGTCCCGACAGTCGCATCAACCCTTGCAAAACGCACAGGTTTCTTCCCTGCCTTGTCTATCTACGCGTGATCTGAATTTTCTCCGAGTCAAAACGTTATGAAGAACAAAGAAATCAAGCAGTAGAATAAATCTTTACAAGTATTGCATTGCGAGCGTATGCCGAAGGGAGACGATTGTTAGTCCACTACAAAATATGATAACGCGCCTGATGCTCTGGAACGCTTCGACAATTTGAATAACACACCCAGGTCATTCTGGGTCGTTGTATAAATAAACGAGACTATGTACGCGCCACATTCGATGTCGTGGTACGATTACCTGAACTTTCAGGGGGTTCGTCGACCCGACATAAAGAACGCTCTCCTTCGCCGTTATTCACGTAAACGATAGCAATCGATGCAGGTAAATATAATTGACCGCGTAGCGGATGAAAAATCGCGCGCGTTAAGTTAGACACGCAACAGAAAAAAAAAGAAAATTTTCCTGATTATTTCGCTTTAAAATCATAGTCTCAGATAAGACCAGACGCCTTTGTCCTCAGTGCACAACAGTTGGCTCGGCCGCAAATTTTGCGAGTGTGCCGTGAGTCGACAGCGAGTCGGGGAACATGAATAATTGAGATCGCACTGTCCTAGGCCGAGCGGGGATCGATAGAATCGGCAGGGAACGTAACAGGTGTTTCTCGTGGAAAACTCGCACGAAACAAACGCGCGATACATACGGCGTGTGTCGAGGACGCGACGGATCTATACATGAGTCTCTCTGTTATGCGTTCGCGCGGAAATACGTTTATAACAATGCGCGAAACAAATTGTCATTTATTTTTGTTTGAACACTGTGAATTCGTTCCCCGCGCCGAATAAACAACGAGATCGACCTCTCCAAAAATACAATTAAACGTATTCTTCACTGCAATGCTACACTTATAACTGATGATTCAGTTACAAGTGTGACACTGCAGTCAGTAAAATCTCGCTGAAACGATCAGTTAACAATAGCGACTGTTTCCACGCTGAGAGAAAATTGTAGTTGCTTGCGGCGTCAACTATACTTTTTTGCGATTTTAACCACAAAAGTAATTAGAAGAATCTTCTTTCTAATAACACTTACTAAAACAATGGTTTTCCTAACTATTTTTGTGACTAAAATCACAAAAGGATATAGTTGACGCCGAAAGCAACTATAATTTTCTCTCTAATTATTGATGCATTTCGCGCAAACACAAACAGTGTCATGCATGCGAGGCTCATGAAACTCGTCAACTTCAATGTCACAAATGCAGAGAGTCGGATTTGGCACAGCGTATAACGACTTTACACAAATTTTGCGGTGAAATTTTACTTCTATTAGTTAGAATCAATAAAACGTAAGACTGATGAAATGAGCCACAAAATTTTGGTTATAATCACTAGAAATCTCGTTAAATTTGAACAGAATCTTAATAATTATAATCAGAATGTCTCTGGTTCGTCTATACTTTACTAGAAATTTCGTTAATCTAACCAAACTTTTCTTTCCGTGTAATTCACATTAAGAGAATACTTAATATCTCAAAGAAATAAGAAGCGGCGCGCGCTTATCTTTAAACACGATGGACGGTCAAAAAGTCATGTCGTAAGGAGGGTAATTTAATCTAAATTTTTTATTTCGCGCGCAGTTAGAAGAATAAATCAATAATTAGGAATCGATTTCTCAAATCATTCACGCATTCGCAGGTCGTGTATCGATAGAATACTCGCTTTATTAACTCAATGTCGCCGCGAATGGATCAGTTTGGATTTTTTTTTGTGCGCGTGACTCTTGTACACTCAAACACGTACTGGTACTCGTGGCGCGTTTTCGCGGCCAGAGAAAATAAATGTTAACCAAGTAACTCGAGACTCTTTCCCGACTTATACACGATCTGTTTTGCCCGCGCGAACGTTCGACGTTGCGCCGTAGTGATGTTACGAACAGTCAATTTTAGACACGATATTGATTCTAATTTTAGCCCTTGCTGTTGCGTCACAGTTATTTCCAACGGTGAATTCTATTTGATTTCCAAAGATTTTTCAAAACAACAATGATCAGATTAATTCAATGCTAGAGTAATTCCCCTCCCTTACCGTGCCTTGGAAGTACAGCAATGGAGGGTAAAATTGTTCGTTTGGAATTCGATATTTTCCACGGCTTCGATTTGTGAGATTCGTCTCAGGATCTTGAGATTAGATTTCGCTTGATCGCGTAGGTACAGACGTAGACGGCGCGTTTGGCCCTGACAGACGGCTACGGACGATCGAGAGTCGTCGACAGACTCGCGTTATATCTGGTCCCCGACATCGTGTATCGACAGTTATTAACTCTCCGTTGGCGAATGGGTTTATTTACGGATTACCCTTGTGTCGCGCTCCTTCGTCGTCGCGGCCACGACGTCGGATCGCTCTATTTCGAGACGTTTTGTAGACTGGAATCGCGAAACGTTGTCAGTGCCAAAAAGTTAATTTTGAATAATTCGTAGAAACTCGTGTAATTAAATACATCACTGTCAAGAACGCAGCGAGAAACAAATTGTCGCTGAAAAAAGAAGAAAGCTGCATACATCTGATACATGAACAGACTTTATCAAAATCGCCGTCTGAACAACCGTTGAATGGTTCTTCATTATTTCACACGATGCGACACGATATCGAGAGTCTCGCGAGATACGTGAAATTGCAATTCTGGCACGCGCGTTGTTATTTCGCGTTGCCGCAGTTTACATTCGATGGAACACCCGCGAGAATCCTGCGTGACCTCGACGATCGAACGATTGTCGTCGAGACCAGGGGATTCACCAGCACTTGGCTCCATCTGACGACCTACGTGTGACTTTACAGTGTGGTCTCTTCAGCATATTTCCTACCTCGTCGATAAACTCACCTCGACGCTCTCGGTTGAAGTTCTTATCGTCCGAAGCGCTCGTCGCTTTTGCGGTGAGCCTCACTTCGATCGAACCCAAGTACAAATTGATCTTCGCGACCACTTTCTCTTTGCAATTAATGTCGGCTAGTCTACAGTCCGTTAGTTAGCGTCTTAATCAAGATCGAGAATCAACATACCGATTGCGACGGCAGTGGCGAAGTTCGACTGTCGTAGGATCTGTACACGGTGGTCGCGTGGGTGCGTGCACCATTCAGCGATCCGTAACCGGGAGTCGCATTACCGCCGACGTGATTTCCTTCCGACGACACGGTGTTCTGCAAGTCCGCCAGTAGCGCATCTGAAAGCGCAATGATCGATCAATTAATTTGTCTTATGTGTGTCTGAAACGCACACAGAGAGAAATTACCCGGTGAAAAAAATCACCAAACGAATATTTTCGATCAAACATCGATCGATTTTTCTATCCAATCAGAAAACACTCGATGAGAAATACTTTAAAGTTTTGATCGGATCATTTGACGAAGTATCCGATTAAATTCAATCGGATATCCTAACCGGACATAAAAATATCCTGATAATTTTTTATAAGATAATTTCTCTTAGTGCAGGTAAATATGCAAAAACATGAAAGAAAAAAATATTCAAACGAGTCAACAAACAAAAATTTATCAAATTTATTTATCAAATGAATTTTTCGACAATATCCGAGTTAATTTCGGAAAGAGAGAGTCTCCGTGATGATAAAAGCAGTCGAGTGTAACGCGACTACTTTTATTATTTCACTTCTAAATTTATCGAAGTGGGTCTCTACTATTTTCAGAGCTTTCTGTGTGTAGCACACCGTTAATGTCGACTCTCGCTTTTGTAATGTAAACAGACAAAAACGCCCGCTATGTACGAGGTACACGACCACGTATACATATACAGAAGATAAACACTGTGAGGGAAAAAAATATTTAAGAGATAAGAAATATTTATTCGATGAGTACTATACATATTCACTTGCACTAATTGAGATATATACAATATAAAGAACGAATCTCTCTCTTTCGAGTAAGAAAATATATATTTTCCTAAAATCATCACCTATAACCATCAAATATATATTTTCCTAAAAATATCACCGTTGTTTTTTACGAAAGCAATTGTTTATTGAAACAGAAGAATTTCTAGAAGATCTAAGTGGATATGTCGTCAGTGTGTGTGCTCATTGAATCAATTTTTTTATTTTTTTCAGATATTTTTTCTCTCAGTGCAGAAAAGATTACTTCGGACATCGTGTATCTTAAATTTTCCACTATTCCTTTTTTATATACCATTAAATACGTATTACATAATGAGTCATAATATCATGCTTAATAGACCATCACATCTCCTCGGCGAGCGAGCCTGACGTTCTAATATAATAGTCTCAATCGAAGTGCATCGATCTAACGAATATCGTTGCACGATGGAGAGTCACGTTCCAGCGAAAGTGACCTGACGCCGTTATTGGATCAATCGAGCTCACTTATTTAATTTCGAGCTGGCGTATGTGAAAAAGGAAGTGTCACGACATTGTTTGACGATGACGCCATACGTCGCCGCTTCAGGTGGCCTTGGGAGGCGCGCGCAATATTGTCACGACACGTTTCATTTATTTAATCTGAAATGTCGCGAGACTATCTGCCAACTAGATTATATATGCACTAACGTCGCTGTTTACACAAGAGATCCGTATAAAAAGCAAAAACGATGAATTTACATATATAGCTGAAACTAGTCAAAGCGTTGCCCAAGTCGTCACAAATGGTCTGTTCTTTTTAGCTGCACTGCTAAACTAGTGCGATAAGTTAGATCGAGAGAAAGTATATTCATTTCACTTCAACTTACTGCACTAGTTCAGCTAAAAAGAACAGACCAAAAGTTTGAAGATGAGATCAGGGAGAGGAAGTAAGGTGTTCAGGTTTATCACGTAGATTATATTTTTCGCAAGGTCCCAGAAAATAACTATGCAAAAATTTGTTCCAAACTTATCAAGATTCCGAAAGTATTCTGAATAAATTTGTTGCTCGTGATAAACTTATGACAGATACGTGGATAAATTTATGAAATAATCGAAGTAACATTTATTCGACTACAGTGTGCATTTTTCTGTGTGTAAAGCTGGCTGACAGAAGTGTGTCAGCCTCTCGAGATGAATATTTTGTTATCGTTATTTACACGAGGAAACAGTTACGACATTGTTTGAAAGAGTGACGTTAGGCCACGATGGCGCTCACAGAAAAGTGCCTGGCATTTGTGATTATAATCGCACAGTGAAATAATTTCAGTCAGGCAGATCGGAGACCGAACCCCGGGCCTAACTCGTCGTCTAAGCCGGGGGAAACTTGTATTTACCGAGAGTAACGAGGTTACTGGTCGCTTTCTCGTGATTGTACACCTGGTACAGGTTCTCCTCTTCGGGAACTTGCGCGCACCGCGTCTCCATCGCGTCCGCGAGACAGCCCAGCACCCGACACACCCACTATTTCAGGAACGTTGAACCTCGAGCTTCAGGTCGAGTTTGGCGAGTTTGGCTCGCAAAAATGCGGCACCCAGAGAAAGTTCACGACCGAACAAATCCTGCGCGAACCGCGTCAAGGAAGAGGCAAGGAAGAATTCCTTCTTTGCTGTGCTGTGCGATTTTTTTCTTTTTTTTTTTTTTTCCTTCGCGAGGAAACTACTCTTTCAGTGATTTTATCTCGAGCTATAGCTATGAGAAAAAATGAACTATAAGAGAAAAATGTTACAAGAAAGTTATACGAGAAAAAGCAACGTCACGAAGGCTGGGAAAATAATGAAAATTCCTCGCGAACAATCGCGATAAGCGCGATATCGATTGATCCTTGCGACTGATTTCGATGTTCTTGATTGCACATCATACGACGTTGCGTTCGACATAAAGAGCCAGAAATTGGCGCCTGATAAGAAACGCGAGCGACTTGATCTGCAAATTTGTCCCGAGCTATCGTGCCAATTGCGCACATGTCTCGAATTATTATTGTTACCGCTATCATCTCGTCGGCCACGCCGTGCTGCGAAACGCGAAACAAGTTATGCAAATGGATGCGAAACGCGAACGTCATTGAGCGTACGTCGATGCAGAGTTGTAATTACGGTATCTATCGTTCGGCGGTTCACGGGATGCAGCAAAATCTTTCAGTTGCAGTTGCAACGCTGACACGCCGATCATTTCATCGTGCTTCCTTAGAAGCAACGTCGTATGATTGCCAAGACTATCAGGCGCATGGCGCGACGACCAAACGAATTTTCCCAATGTCATCGCGCGATTTTTCTCGCTCGCGAGACGACTTGCACTTTTTCCTACCTGTGCTCGCTTCGATTTTTCACGCGCCCGCGGCAGCACCTAAGAAACCGAGCGCGTGCGACACGTGTTCAACGGTGCGAATTCGCGCGTACAAGGCGACGTGCATGAACGTCGACGGGACGGTACTGATTGTCATTGAAGTTCGCGAGAAAGCGATACCGAAAGCGAGCTACCACTGGAGGAGGTGAAGCGGCCTGGAGAGGAGGAAAAACGGAAAGGAGGCACGGTATGGTGGGGCATTCGCGGACGACGGTCGGAAGCTGCGGTGTTAGGAAGAAACGACCTGGGCAGCTAGTTTTCACGACGGCCGATTACGGGGAAACCGATTGCGCCGAGAGATCCAGCTCAACTCGCAGATTCGAAGAAACTGCAACATGATAGAACTCAGGGGACTTGAGTCGCTGCTGTTCAAGGCTCACATTAATAATTATTATATCAAACTTGTCGAGTGAGCGTTCTAAGTACTCTCTGAGTAAGTACTTAGGTTTGAATTCAGAGTTATATGAGAGTTTTTCAGTTAAATCGCGATTATGAATATATTTTAATTCACCTGGAAAACGTAGATCTCTGAATAAAAATTTGAGCATTTCACATGCGATAAGTTTCAGGTAACAACTATTAATACAAATCTAAAACGTACAGAAATTCTTTCCATTGTGAACGGATAAACTTGAGCGAGACAAAACAAATTGCGCTCAATAAATAATAAACAAGAATCACTGCAACGCTATCGAAAGTACGTCTTTGCAAACGTATGGTTTGTCCTATTTGGACCCAAAGTAAGTTTCTTAAAGTAAATTTTCTTAAGAAAATGTGTACTTTTTATTTGAAAAAAGTATTTCATATTAGTATTAATATTTTATATTAGTATAAGAGTAAATACGCTGTTAGTACTATTTCTCAGATATTTTTTTTCTCAATGCATCCACACTACTATCAACGTGTACAATTTCGCGCGCTTTGGATTCACCGTCCGTATTTCCGCGCACGTTGCACCGCGCGTTTTTGCGCGCTAATACGCTACTTTTTTGCCTCATAACGTGAGGAACGCGTTGAGTAATCGTCTGAATGGGACTTAACATTGGCAGCAAGCCTACTGAGCTTATCGAGGTCTATTTTGCACGGCTGATTCATACCGTCGGACATCAATACTGCATGCCGCGCGTAAACGCGCGTGCCTTGCGTAAATAGCGACAGGGAGGAGCGAGACGGAGATCGCGACACGTTCAAGCAGTTTGCAGAACGTTCCCCCCCCCCCCC